GTGTGTCGGGAACATTTGTAAAGAAAGATAATGGTCATTTTGTGATGGGGCTTTGTCCCGTTCACATCCTGTTCTCGCTCTTAAGTATTTGCTTGTAAATCAGCCGAGATATATCTTATTTTATTTTATAACAATACTTTCATGGAAATTGTCCTGATGAGCTTTCCTCTTTGGTGCAGTCTTGAACTGGCATCTTGGCTTCACTCACTTTCCCATCACCGTAATGTAGCTTCTCTGTGCCTTTTCTATAAATCCTTTCATGGTAATTGTTCTGATGAGCTTTCCTCTTTGGTACAGTCTTGACCTGGCATCTCAGCTTCACTCACTTTCCCATAACTGTAATGCAGCTTCTCTGTGCCTTTTCTACCTTTCATGGTAATTGTACTGATGAGTTCTTTTCTATGCTACCTGGATGATGAATTTAAACCCCATGGTTTCATAAATTTACAATTGAATTGGCAAGATGTAACTAAGTTCTATGCTAACAGTTTCTTTTCTCAAACTTCTTACTTGTGGAACTTTCTTCCAGCTTCATACTTTCCAGTCAATTTTAATCTTCAAAACTTTAAATGCAATGGCAGTCATTATTTACTGTCTTCCTGAATACTCTTCTATTTCTCTTTCTCTTTTGTAATATTTCTGCTTTCTAATTCTTTCTCACCCAGTAACCCCTTGTGTCTTAATGGCTTTACTACCTTGCTTCAGTTATATCCAATTAAAAAAAAAATTGTTGTGATCAGAAAGTACTTATTAATTGATGCAAGGTCAAGTGGACTTTTCTTCCATGGAGTTTATCTTTTAGGGTCAGTTCTGGAGATTTATCCTGGTCACTTCATTGCCCTTTGCATTAAACATTGTTGGTTTTTTCATCACCCGGCATGATATATTTGTTTTTGTTTTTTTTAAACAATTCCCTCCAAGCAAGGCAATAATTCCACTAAGACACGGGGGTGGACTAATGTGAGTGAAAGAGAAAGAAAAAGACTTTAGAAGGAGCTGGAAACTCAATCCTAAGCAAGCAACAAGGGATATACAACTACTCCTGTTCAAAAGACCAGAGAGAAGTGTGAACTGGACAATAAGCAAACCTATCTACTCCTATTGATAAAAAATAATAAATAAAAAACAAATAAAGAAATTGTAAATAAAATGTCAATGTTTAGGTGTAGATTAGAAGTACGAGTTGAAATAGACATTTGAAGGAAGCAGAAACCCAATCCTAAACAGGAAACAAGGAATAGAACTCCACTCTTGTTCAAAAGACCAAAGAGGAGTATGAACCAGGCAATAGACAAACCTATCTACTCCTTTTGAATATATTTAAGGAACACTTAGGCTAGTTAGGATGGTACATTCATCATTACAATTTCTTCACAAAACCAGAAATTACTTATGACTTAATCTAATCAGTTTTTAATATTTCAGTTTTTTCTTTTTTTGTTTATATCTTCCTTTTTTCTTTTTCAAATACATCCCATTACTAAAGTATCAAGGAAAAGAGATTAAAATAGTAAAAAAAGAAAAGACTTACTACTCACTTTGAAGTCTGGGCATTAGAATAGAATCATTCTGTAATTGCAACAAAATAAGGCTATTAATAATATTATTATTAAAATAGTAATTAAAAATGTTTAAAAATAATTAAGAAAAATAACACAAAAATCCTCAAGAGATGAAAAATAGAAAATATTTGTGATGATTACATAGCTTACTAGATACCTTAATTTTGTATTTAAGACCTGAGGGATATTTTTTGAAGCCACTAGTAGGGTTGAGGGTGTGTGTCTTATATGTAATGTTATAAAAAATATGGATTTTAAAACCAAATTTAATATTCATACTTTGGAGAATAATAAAATAAAATGTTATGACTAATCAGCTCCAATAAACAAGGCCACTAAGATATAGATAGTTACTGAGTGTGAAATAATATACAGTCAATAATGAAATTATTCGTACACCCCTAAATTTTGAATATTTTTATCCATTTCTCAGAATCTAATGCCTTTATGATGCCAAGTTTTTTAATATGTTAATAAGCACAAAAAAAAAAAATTAATAACTGATATGCCCCGGAAGGGATATATTTGATTGAAGTAGCTAAGTGGTTTTGGCTACTGTAACTGAGTAGTACAATTTAGCAGGTAGCTGTAATTGACTGGTACTCATCGTAGTTGTAGTCAATAGGTTTAGGCAATAGGTGTAGACCAATAGGATAGCCAATAGCGTAGTCCAATGGGCGTCTTTGTGTACCTCTACATCAGCCTGTATTTATGGCTGACACCAGCCAATCATATTCCTGTGAGGGGGAACACAGGTGTATGTATATTCATTACACCAATATAAAACTCACTTTTGAGAACAATAGGTTAAATACAATAAAACTAGTAGCATGGAACATAAAGCTACATCTAGCCATTTTTGACTGACGACAAGAAGAAAAGACAACATGGATTTGGAATTGCAATATGCAAATCACCAGATATTATGATAGATAATATAATAAACCAGTCAGTGTAGACTGTTGGCTGCTGAAAGTGTTGTTCATAGCTATAAGATCTGAGTGAGATCAGCTTATGTCCGAGCTGTAAAAGTCCTGTCTTGGAAAAAGAGAAATTTTATACAGATGACCCAGTGCATTAATGAAGATTTTAATGCTACTTCAAGCATTTCTTCTTTGATGGTAAGAAAATATCACCCTTTGAAATAGAAGCATCAAACAACAGTGGAGAACTCTTGCTAAATCTTCATTACTCAAGAATTTACTCCATCCTTAACACATGTGTTATTCATCCCAGGAAACACTGTATCACATGGTATAACCCAGATAATATAGCAAAAAAAGATTATTGACTTCAGATTAGACAGTTTGTGACTGATGTTAGAGTATACAACACTTATTATAGCTCATTTCTTCCCATGTAAACCAAGGAATTCCCAGGTATAATATCCAAGCCCTTAAACATGAAACGGTGTTTTTAGAATTTAGTAATAAATTAGTGTCCAAATTGATGTCAGTAAATATTGAGCAAAACATAGTTGAATCTAATAATTTTATCATATTATCATTAGCTAATGTAAGGCCACCCCAAAGTGACCTCAAATATTCCAAGAAATCGGACTCAAGATAAACCCATGGGATGATAACTTTGAGGTGAATAAACTGATATAAGAAAGAAACAAACAGAAGAGAAAAAATGGAAGAGAAAATACCAAATAATTAACAAAGAAAATAAAAAAAATAGTTAATTTTTTGAAAAATCTCTGGAAAATGGGAAACCAAATTAATGAAGTCAAACAGTATAGATAATGTATTAAAATATGAAGAAAAGCAAAAACCATGATATTATAGAATCAAAACACCCACAGAAAAAAATATCATAGTCTCAAAAAGCACTTTGAATCACATTTCAACCCCGACCATATTAAACATGAGAAATAGAACATATACAAATATTCATCCAACCATTACAAAGCCTGTCCTGAAACATCATATTTATTACTGTATATAATATACTATAATTGTGGCACATGGCCAAAACGGGAAGTGGGGAGAGGCTGGTCTTCACTAACTATCCTATTCCTAGTTAATCACGATCATTCAATTCATCCAATACAATTGCTCCATTTACCACTCATTCCTCACCATTCAGTCCTACATATACCACAATACCACATACTCACTGGGTACACCTACAAAAACACCCCATGATATAAAATTTTAAATTCCTAAATACAGAAATATATAAAAATTTCATGAAGTATGAAATGAGGTGGGAGGGAATGAATCCCGAAAACAAACTAAAATGGAACAAAAACAAACTATAACAAAACAGATGTTAGTAAGACCTGTCCACCCCTCAAAATAATCAGAGTGACTGCTGTATTCTGCCAATAGACAGAATCAAGTAGCACACTCACTAATGGCATGGGGAGGGTAAAAATAAATGATGGAATGGGAAAAATAAAGCCTGATCCAGCCAAAGATAAAACTGGAGAGGTTGGGAATCTCGACATGGATCATAACAAAAGAGAGTGCTGGGAACAGGCCAGGGGCAACACTTATTCATATTAACTAGGCAAACCAAGAGTGTCTAGCTTAACCAGGGGGAGGGATCACAGGAAACCACCCCATTGTGACCAAGTGGACTTAAAAAAGAAACTCAATGTTAACCCCTTTCACACGAACCAAACTCGCTACTTTTACCCACCTTTTGCTGAAATCTGTTGATATCAGACGCTTTCTATCAGTTCTGATCTTCACTTTCAGCTGATGCTGAAAGAATCTGAACAGAGCCTGATGAGTATAACGTTCGTATCACAAGATTCCCTTCATCTGCAACATCCAAATCACCATTCGTGCCATGGCTAGCAGCATCAGAAACACTGTTTCTTCTCAGAAAATGGGGGCGACACCTTATCGCACACATATGTGAGATCAATGAGCATGAGAACATCGGGAGCGATACAAGCCGTCAACTCACCAACATAATCCCAGAAAGGGCACACCTGAGGACAATGGTAGAAGGTGTGTGAAACAGCCTGTCCTGAAATATAAACAATAATGAACCTAGTGATGAAGAAATTAAGAAAGCTATTAAAAAACTAATGAATAAGAAAGCATCACTTGACATTGAAGCTGAACTTTTGAAAATAAGGTGACTCTCTGAATTCAATAACAATTTCTTCTATTTTAAGAAAGAAGTCTGTAATCAGAAATGCAATCAATGGCTTATGACAGGGTATAACCATATCAAGTTTCTTTTTTTGACAATAGTTATTTGGTCCTCCAATGGGCCTGTTTCTTGCCTTACTGCAGCATTTGTGATGCAGTTTTCATAGGAGATGCTTAGGATATTTCTGTACTGTCTCATCTCTAATACTTGTATTCTTCACTATACCATCACTTAAAGCTTATACTTCACTTTTGTAATTTAATTCCTCTCTCTCTCTCCCCCTTCCTATCTATCTATCTATCTATCTATCCATTTCCAGGCTTACAGCCACATCATATTGAAACATTGCTTCACATATGATCACCGAAGTTAAGCAATGTTTAGCCTGGTGAGTACTAAGATAGGTGACCATTTAGGAATACCAGGTGCTGTAAACTTGGAAGTTGGAGACCTGAAGTCTATTCACTTAGACAGAAATATCTTCGGGAAAGGCACAAATCTGTTTCTTCTTGCCCTTGCTGTTATTGGTTAATTACTATGTTAGATTATCTGTAAAAGTCATTATTATCTCCAAAGAATTCTTAAAATCTAAAAATATTTTTCTGGCTTTAAATAACCTGGTTGATAAATCAATCAAATCAAATTATATCTATTTCCATCTCTTTTGCTCTCTCTCTCCATTTCTCTCCTTAGCAAAAGAAAAATATACATTTGAAGAAATGGAAAATTAAAATTAAATAAAAACTGAGCTTGTGTGAGACAAACACATGTCTCTAGAAAAGAGACATGTGCAATCTGTGTGTGCATGTGTGTATGTGTGTGTGTATATACTTATCTACACTTGTTAATAAATATCCAGTGTGTGTGTGTGTATATATATATATATATATATATATATATTACAAAGAACTTGGTAAACCGAATGGGTAATTCCAAGGAGGATGAAATCCTGAGAGCTCAATGTGAATCCAGAGCTAATATTTAATGAAAAAACAGACCACTTTAAGGTACCATTACAATAATTTATTTCTCCAAAATCCTTTTTGAAGGACTCCGGATCACAACAAAATGAAAGGAAAAATGGATATATATATATATATATATATATATATATATATATATATGAAATAATGATATATATTTTTATATATCAAGAACAGTATTGGAGAACTTGTATGACAAAGTGGAAAACTTTATTTGTGACATATTTTGGCCTTCAAGACTTCATTGGACTAAAGTTGTTATGTTGGTAGGACTACAGATGTGCATGACAGAGGGGTACTGAGAGTTTTAGAAATTTTTTTTTATCTAACTGAATTCATTTAGAGTCTTTTTCTTTCCATCACTTTTGTAAATAGTCATTCCACACTGTGATATTAGAATATCTGCTAGGAATGGTGAAATGTTGCAAGAGCCAGTGTGCAAATTTATTGTAGATGACTTTGCAATTAAGGCACTCTCAAGACATTTACTCTGTGGTGAATTATTTTCTCCTTTAATCAGAGTAGTATTTTTTATGTCAAAATTGTGATCAGTCTTGTTATGGTGGGCAGCCAATGCATTTAACATAGTATTTTGTAAAATATCCCTTTTGTGTTCATATAATCTTTTATTTAAATTCCTTGAGGTTTCTTGTAATTTTTGTAACAATTATTACAGGTAATGGAGTAAACTCCTCCCTCAGATTTTAGCTTATTGTTTTGTTTAGTATTGACTAAGTCTTTTATTGTTTTAGAAGCAGTAGAAACAAATTTTATGTTGAGTTTAGATAGATTCTTTTCAGTTGTAGATGTGATAGAATTAGTAAGCAGGATAATACAATTTTTGATTCATTGGGTTTTTCAGGAAGGGCCATTTCTTTGTTTTAGAATATTTTATGGGCTTTTTGTTTCAAATTGAATATAAAATAATTAGGGCACTGGAAAAGTTTGAAAGTGTTTTCAATGTATTTCTCATTCACATATAAATAATCTGAGCTGCATATTTTTAGTGCTCTTAGGTAGAATCTGATGATTATGCCAGATTTTATTTGGTTGTTATGATGAGAATAGAAATTTATTAGGTCATTTTTGTTGGTTTATTTCCAGTAGACACTAAGTTTAAAACTGTCATTAATGTGGTATAGCTTGATATCTAGGAAGGGTAAGGAATTGTGTTCTTCCATTTCATATGTAAATTCCATTGTGTGTTCAGCTTTGTTTAGTTGTCTAGTAGATCAGGTAAATCAGTAACATGAGGATATATAAGTAGAGCATCATTAATTTAACAGAAGCATGTTGATTGTTTGGGTAAAATATTTTGGAAAGCACTGGACTCAAGTAATTCTAAGAAAATACAGGCCATCACTCCACTGAGAAGTAATCCCATTGGTAATCCAAATTTTTGATTGTTGACTAATTTCCTGAAAAACTGTTTTAGGAAAATATTTTATTAATTTCAACCAACAGTAACATTAATAGCTATTCCATTATATATATATATATATATATATATATATATATATATATATATATATATATATATATATATATCCAAATGTAATGAGAACAAAAATAATATATAAATCCTAACGTTCACAGCATTAATTCAAATGAGAGCTCAATACTGATAGTAGAGCAATAATTATTTATTATAATTTTATCATATAGACAAAAACAATTTACTCACGACAAAGATGCAACTTTGTTTCAGTGCATTTAGTTGCACCTCGACTGGTGAGAACATCCTTTAATAATGATAAATACCAAAATCAAACGTACCTATCAAAATATTTCTGGCACTTAAGAGAAACCAATAAAACACCAACAGTAAAATGAAAATTAATAAGAGCTTGAATGTCATTAAATTACCCATATCCTTTGCACATACATGAAAAATTATACATTAATTATTCTGAAAAATAAAAATTTATTAATCAAAGAAATGAAATACCTATTTTTTTGTAGACCCTGTCAAATATTTTCCTTAAGTAATAATTAATTTTGAAAAAAAAAATAATAAAGAATAGAGATGAAACATACATTTTTATATTTAGTCTTTAATTAGTAATTAAATTCTAATATATTTTTTTTGTAAAAATAGCGTATAGTCTATTAGTTATTAGGTCAAATGGTACTTTAAATCTATTAGAATAAAATTTTATTAATAA